TTTGTATTTCATTTGGCTAATTTTGGATCATTTGGTTCATAGAGTTCCAATCTCTACGTAAATCACCTCTACTATTTCTGCACCAATTATTCAATTTAGCATGGGAAAATTTGACTTGGTTAGTTATTGTAATTTCAAAGTGTCTAACCTGATCGGTCCAAGCACGAACAATCTTCTCATTCACCTAGTCTAAAATTGTAGTTTCAGCATATTTTAAGAAATTCTGATATTTCTCACACACCTTCCTGAAATGTATAAAAGAATCGACATATAACTCTTTTGTAGAAGAATTTATTATACCATTCCATCTTCACCCTTTATTTGTTTGGTCCCTATCGCAACCTTAAGTCTAACACATTCTTTTTTTCATGTGATATGTTCAAAGTAATGTATATGATGTAGAAAACACCTTTGCCACTGCATTTATCAATGTGGTATTGCGATCAATGACAATGACATTTGGCATAATTTATTGGTCCTTCGACAAATTCATGCACATTTCTAAAGCCCAAATAACAATGTCCTATTTTTCACTTATCAACAATGCAAACCCAACTAGAAAATTCTTTTCCGTAAAAGTAACACCAATAATTTCTAATAATTGAAGCTTGTACTTATTCGTCTTTTATGTTGAATCAATAATGAGTATTGTGGAAAATGTGTTGAAAAACTTTATAGAATCAGGGCGACTCTAAAATATATCTTGAACGGTTTCTCCATCCTCATACACTTTGTACAATGATACATAATGATTATCATCCAAAAGTTTCAACAATTGTTGCATTTCAATTTTATCCCCTCTTATCACCTTGTTGTTTTGAGCACATGCATTGTATATTGCTTGATATTTGAGATATTTAGAGGTAATTTCTGTTTCAAATTTGTAAGTATATTTTTAGGCTGCAACATGTTCAATGTTACGCCATAAACGATTTCCTTCTCTTCATCCTTAAGGCAATATGCAATGGGGTTATCGGCTAACTTACGACACATGTTAGAATAATGTATAGCACATTAAATCTCCATGTATTATTCAGCATAAGGTATTTGCACAACTTAAAAGGACACACATTTCCTTGAACAACTACCATCCCATTTCAATTTCTAGATAGGATTTGTTTACTTGCCACTTCTTTCGCATCTTAGTGTCACAAATACATTTCTTCTATCTGAACCATTATCTGACCTTCTGATTACAACGTCGAACCCTAATTTGGCAGCCTCCATGCGGATCCATGGAGCATATGATCATGAACAACAAACACATATTCATTTGTAAATTATTTACCAACATCAACCAATTTGGCATCCGTAGTCACAATAAGTTTGGGGACAACACTAGGGTGCACCATATCTAAGGTCAATCACAACGGAAAATATTTAAAATCTGAACAAATACAACTCTGAACTAATATGAAAATATAGTTCCGAATGACATTCATCACAAATCCGAAAATATATTTCTGGGCGCAACGTTCATATTTTCAGTCTAAAAACGAGATTAATGAAGTAATGAGGAAGAAAATACACGTACATTACCTTAAATTTCAGTTTTTTAGTTCATTTTGATGTGGAAAAACATACAATTATTTTTTGAAGTACAAAAGTTGATTGACTGTGGTAGAAAGTTTTGGTAGAGTTTGAAGAAGAAATTGTATTTTTGATCATGAGTGAAGGAAAAATACAAGATGCTTTATTAAATTTTCCGCTTGATAATTTCAGAAATAAACTTCTAAAATAGTCATTGAATTAAAAATACATGCAATGTGGTAATTTTTCAAATTTTCACTTGACAAATCCGAAACTACACTTCTATATTTATCATTAAATTGTTAAATGAACATCTGAAGATATTCTTACAAACTTTTTTTTTTTTAAATAAAAACGTGTCTCACTTAAAATATATTTTAAAATGAAATAGATGCATTTAAAAATATACTTTTAAATTAATAAATTTTTTTAATTTTAGTGTATATGTCCACCATCCACCACTTAGCTAAAAGAAGCCATCCCAAATTTTTAATGGATGGATTGCTGGAATTTTTTTTTTTGTTAATGGATGTCATTTGCCATCTGTACCCATGCAATGACAAGTAACATTAACTACTATTGTGTGGTTCACTTCAAAAGGATCATATGCACAACAACAACAAAAATGCTAACATTTTTGGTCGCAGAATCCAAAACATTAGTTTAGATAAGTTTAAATTGTTTCCATAATATTACCTCCCCTATTTTAAAGACAATTTTTTTTTAATTTATTAGATAATTAATATCTCTAATCTATAAACAGACTAAATATATTAATTATTCAATAAAATATATTAGTTATTCAATAAATTTAAAAAGTGAATTATCCTCATAAAAAAGAATGAATAAAATAAAATATCATTTATTTATGTTCGTTACGTGAATTGGCTTTATTATATTATCTAAATGGAATAACATTTTTACATAAATGATCTTGTATCTTTAAATATGGCATAGAGAAAATTTCTTTTTGTATCTTGTTAGTTTCTCCCGCATTTTTAGTGAAAAGTTAAAAATATCTCGTATTTTTAGAAATACATCTTCGAATTTATTATTTCTTTATTTTATTTAAAAATTAGTTCGGAGATGTATTTTTAAATTTTTTTTAAGAGCGTGTTTGGATAAGATAATTCGGAATTTTTAAAAAATTCAAAATTTTAAACAACTCAGATGATTCAATTGAAATTCATTTAATTTTAATTTTTTTTTTGTTTGGATGGAGTATTAAAAATGATTAATTATTAAATTTTTAAGGTCATTTTCATAAATTTTTGAACTTTTGGATCAAATTTAAAATATGAAAAATAAGGACCAATTTGCAACTTTTGAAAATTTCAAAGGATCAGTTTGCAATCATTTAAAAATCTCAGGGATAAATTTATAATTTTCATAAAATATAAGGACCATTTTGCAAATTTTGAAACATTAATAATAAATAATTTAACATTCAAATTATAGAACAATCTCAAATTCTTTACTTTTTTGTATCATTTGAAATTCTTTAAATTTGATTTAATAAAATGTTTCATAAACTTACATCATTTTAACAATTCTCTATATTTTTTATCCAAACAATGAATTTTGACCAAATCATTTTAAATTTCTTCAAAAAATTATTTTCCCTCATTAAAATGCTTCATCGAAACATTGTTAGAGAATTGATCAAAATTTAAAATGATTTTTTAATAAAGCATTTTAATGAGGAAAAATAATTTTGAGGGAATTTAAAATGATTTGATCAAAATTCATTGTTTAGATAAAAAAAATAGAAAATTGTTAAAATTATATAAATTTATGAAACATTTTATTCAAATCAAATTTAAGAAATTTCAAATGATACCAAAAAATAAATAATTTGAGATGCTAAAAAATTTGAATGTTAGATTGTTTATTATTATTTTTTCAAAATTTGATAATGGTCCTCATATTTTATAAAAATTATAAATTAACCCTAAAAATTTTAAAAAAATTATAAATAAATTCCTAAATAATTTTCAAATTTTATAAATTGATCCTTTAAAATTTTCAAAATTTACAATTTAGTTCCTACTTTTCATATTTTAAATTTGGCCCAAAATTTAAAATTTTATGAAAATGACTCTAAAATTTAAAATAAATCATTATAATACTCCATCCAAACAAAAAAAAAATTATAATTGAATGAATTTCAATTGAATCATTTGAATTGCTTAGAATTTTAAATTTCTTAAAATATTTAATTATCTCATTCAAAAACACTCTAAACTTACTTCAGAAATGCATCTCCGAAAATGTCTCATTTCTACTAAACCACCATAGTTTCTAGCATAGAACTATACCGAAGAACTCAGATTCTTTAGATTGGCTTTGGCTGAATCAAGTTGTTCTACCCAACACAAATTTTAGGGGATAATATGTTAGCAGAACTGTTTGGCACCTTAAAGCAAATTGTTTTTTCTATAAAATGAAAACAATGTCAAATTATTGCTGTTTGGAAGTTCCCGTGTTTTTTATAGACAGTCAACAACAACAAAATATAATTCCTTTATGATTGCTGTCATCCCTATACACAATTATCACAAAGATCCCATTTCTTTGTTAATTTAGAATTGGGGGAATAGCATGATAAAACTAAAGGAATCCCTTTATTTTGTTCAGATTTCATAGCAAGGAAAACAAAATAATAACACAGCAAAATAATGGGAAGAGTGAACATGTAGCCTGTGTTTAACATAGGCTTGAATGAAAACAGATATTTAGTGAGAAAGCTTCAACAAATCACGGCAATTGCGAAAATTTGGACAAAAACCAAATAAAATACAAGACTGACATGAGAAAAAAAAATACAATATCACGCCCAAAAAGACATGGAAAGCTGCCGAAAGTCGGAACCAAAACCAGCTGCAGAGACAGCACAATATTTTGATTTTGCTACATTTCCTTACATGTTTAAACTGCTTTCACTTGAGTTTGTTGTGTAATATGAAATCTTCTGAATAAAATTCAACGCTTCTTGCACTTACAGATTGTATTTTAAATTTTAAAAGGTTTGCCTATATACAAATATCAAGAAAAATGTATCAATAAGAATCGAAGTCTTTTATACTTAAAAATCAAGTTTTTCCTTCCTTCGAAGTCTTCACAATAGTGAAATCTTAACACATTGCGATCTAATAAACGATATTATAAGTTAGATGCACTGATAAAATATATCTAGTATATAATACAATAATCAATATGCAAACAACCTAGTTTCATATGATTCAAACTATTCAATATGAACGGGATTATCAAAGACATTCCATTCGAAATTTATGGCAAGTAAATTTTATCAACTCATCATATGCGTTTCTACATAACTTATAATTCTTTTGACCATAGAGAAAGTCAACCATAGTCCCTAAAAATAATACATAAATAAAGAAATTCTACAACAAAAGTTAATCAACATGGATTTATCATTTCACTCACTTACAAGGCGAATTAGGCTCTTATTTCTTACTGAGATCAATTCCAGCCTTTTTTGCAACTGCATCAAGTCCATTCTTATCTATCGTCTTCAATGCCTTAGTCGACAAACGAAGCTTTACAAAGCGTTTTCCAGCTTCCCACCAAAGTCTCTTGTACTGGAGATTTACAAATTGCAACTTCTTTGTCTTATGGTTTGAGAAAGATACTTTGTTGGCCTTGTTTGCTTTTTTTCCAGTGAAGGGGCACACTCTTTCTGAAAACGTATTAAACATTCATTTCTCGCGTTATGAGGCACTTCCAACAGGAAAACGTATAAGCTACAAAATGCAGCTTCATTGTATACGCACGTATAACGCATTCCAAATGCAGCTTCATTCAGTTTCCTTTTAAACTTTCTTTTTACTAAATATCATCGGTGTCTACATGTCAGTGTTGTAATAAGTATTATCAGTGTCTATGTGTCAGTGTTCTAATATTATCAGTGTCTACGTGTCAGAGTAGTAATTTTATTTATTGTTGAATCAATCAAAGTAGTGATTACTGTTTTCAATAGTGCTACTCTAAAAGGAGCATTGTAATTCAAAAACATAAAATGAAGAAAAAGACAGAAGTGAAATTGAAATAGAGAAAGAGAAAACTTACTAGCAACAATGGGTAGAAAAGGAGAAGCAACGATAGGCGTAGCCGTATTCAATGAAGTCTGAGAGGAGATTCTGAGGCCAGTTAATTGAGAATTCAGGAACCCTAATTCTGAAATCACAAAATTGCAATTGATAAGAGAGCAAATTGAAATCGAAATTGAGAACATGTTAGTTACTTACGGGGTGAGAGGGATGAAAGTTTGTAAGACTTGGTTGGTGAAACGGTGCGCATAGAGGCCAAGACGAAAGTGTTTCCGATCGAAATTGCAGAACCCGCCATTGCTCTTGTTTTCCGTTTTCACTGTGACTTTCTTCTTATCCAACCCAATCTGATAAAACCAATACTAGTATGCTTTTGTCCACCCCTTCAAACTAATTTAAATTTATAAAAGATAATACTCCGTCTGCTCTTTTATTTTTTTACAAGAGACTGTTTATTATTTAGATTTATTCAAATTAATGTATGTGATACTCGTATGAATCAAATACATTAATTATTTAATGAATTTAAAAAATGAGATTTCTCTTATAATAAATAGAAGTGGTAAAGTAGACGGTCTGTCTCATTTAAATCCGTTCCGTTTTAGTCTGTTTAAAAGTGGAGCGAAATGGGATAGGTCAACGTAGGGGTTTGAGTTTAAAATTTAGAAATTTTTTAATTATTATCAAAGAGCTTGATAAAGAAATTGTTTTAACAACATATAATAGAACTTCAAGATGTCTTAAGTCCAAACAATTCAAAAAAATTAATAAATAAAGATTAATTACAACAAAAAAATAAAATAAACTCAAACACAATAAAAAATATCAAAATAAATAAACAATACATATCATCATAATCTTATTTAAAAACTGTTCTGGATTGGGCCCGACAGGCCCAAAAGCATTACTGAGGCCCAATCCAAAGGGACTTACTGTGGTCCACGCCGAGCAAAGGGGTCACATCCGTGCCCGACATCTTGATGTCCAGCTCGACATCCCACTGTCCAACTCCAAGTGATGGTGTCCAGCTCCACCTCTTGACGTCCAGCTCGACATCCTAACGTCCAGCTCGACGCCCTACCGTCCAGCTCGACGTCCTGCTGTCCAGCTCGACGTTATCTCGAGCATCCCCACTAGGGCAGACTCAGTCCACCATTCCCCCAACGATACTCCGGAAAGACCGCGTCTTCGTCCGCCCGCACTTCACGCAGCACATCCAGGACGGGGACCACGTGCGGGTCCCCACTACCCACGTAGAACCTGGCAGTTCCTCCATTGGGCCAAATCCGCCCGGCCCAATGAAGGGACCTTGGCCCAGCGCTGGGGGCTATAAATACCCTCTGTTTCCAGAGGGTCAGGTATTCATCATTCTAACCTCAACTCTATTATCTGCTCGTACTCCCACCGACTTTAGCATCGGAGTGCCTTGCAGGTACCCCCCCCCCCCCCTCCTCGTTCAAAAAGCTTTCTGCTCGGAGCCAGCCGTGACGGTCCAAACCTTCTGATCAGGTCAGATCAGTGGCGCCGTCTGTGGGAAACAGCTTCCCCGTCTAACGAACAATTCCAAAGACCAAAGCTCAATTCAATTACCTGTCATGGCTGATCCAGCTCGCGAAGAGCAGCACGTCCGTGTCACCGACACTAACAACGGTCCCGCGGACAAAAATGGACACCTCGACAATCTCGGTGATCCCGGCCACAATGCCACCCCCGTGACAACCGCCCCTGGACCTTCTTCCCGCAGGGACGGGAACACTGCGTCGTCCTCGACGACCCCTCCAGCATTCGAAGACGACCCGGAAGCTCTCGCCTATCGCAGAGCTGCCCGGTTCTATGAAGTCCCAGTTCCTGCCGGGGCAGATGCCACGACTCAGGCACTGTTCGCGGCCATCAACCAGACTAATTATCTCATTTTCGCCCAGGGAGAAAGACTAAGGGCACTTGAAAATGACCGACGACCCCCGAGGAGGCACCAGAGGCCACCTTCTCCACCTCCTCGGGTCGAAGAAGTTCGACACCCTACTCCCCCGCGGAGGCACTATAGGGAGAAATCCAGGAGCCCCTCTCCCCGGCCAAAGCAGAGGCGGCCCCAATATGAGAGACAGCCCGTCATCCCTACCGAAGAGCCCAGTCGCGACCCCTCAAGGCACGATAGGAGGCACGCCGGAGACGGGCGGGTGACCTTCAGCCACCGAGCCTCACGCTCGAGGGAATCTCAGCACGACCATCGTGCCAGACATAACTATACGACCCCCTCTCTTTCTCCGGAGAGGAGCGACGAGGACGACCCCCGCGGTCCCCTGTCGCAGGCCATCATGGATGCACCTATCCCCCCGGGCATGGAGAAGCCCCCGCACCTGAAGGAGTATGATGGAGTAGCGGACCCAGTCGACCACATTGACGGGTTCGAAGCCATGCTCCATTATCACAATGTCGGGGGGCCCATCAAGTGCCGTCTCTTCCCCACAACTCTCAGGAAGGCGGCCATGGACTGGTATAAAGGGCTCGCCCCGGGCTCAATTACATCATGGCGGAACCTGAAGAACCAGTTCATCAGTTCCTTCACAGCTTCCCGTCGCCACCCGAAGACTGAGGCAGCCCTCGAGGCCATCATTCAAAGACAGGATGAGACTTTGAGGGAATTCATCAACCGCTTCAACCGGGAAGCAATCCAGGTCCCCTGCGCGGACCATATGAAAAGATATTTGCTGGAGAGGGGCCTCCTCCCCGGCACAGAATTCAGAAAAGCTGTGGGTATTGAGCCACCTGCAACTTTTGACGCTCTCCTCGACAAAGCTCGAGCATACATGGACTACGAGGAGAGAGAAGCTGCCAACAGGGCACGAGACTCCAGGGCTCGCGCTCCCCATCACGGCGGCAGCTCGCGACAAGACCCTCCTCCCCGACGTACCGGGGAGAAAAGGAAGGAAGATCGACCCCGGGAGGTCCGGGAACAAAGGGGCCCATCGGGCCGTTTCATCGAGTACACTCCGCTCACGGCTTCCCGCGAGCGTATTTTGGCGGAGTGTGCTAGCACAGAGTTCAAAGACGGTGGCGTCAAGCGTCCCCGGCCAGCTCCTGCCAAGCCAGGAGTAGACAAAAATAAATACTGTCAGTACCATAGGAGTCATGGTCATTTGACAGAGGACTGCGTCCACCTGAAGGACGCCATTGAAACCCTCATCAAAGGAGGGAGGCTCGCACAGTACAGGCGAAACGACGCTCCCCGTCGTGACGCCCATGAAGCAAAGGAGCCCGAAGAAGATGCCCGACCATCTGACGAGTCGGTGCCAATCCAGACCGCCTTCTCGGTAACCAGGCCCGAGGATCTCGAAATTCCCGAGCTCCTGCAGGAGCCCCTGACGACACACAGCAGGTGGGAATACTTCCCCTCCGCCATGGTCATCAACGGGGGCGGGTTCAACGACCTCACCATCAATTCAGCCAAGAGGAAGTTGGACGAACTGGTCGACGCAGCTCCTCCACAAACTGTGACGTTCGAAAGGGTGAAGGGCAGGTCAGAGCCCATCACCTTCTACTTAGAAGAGCTCCCCGGCGGAGCCCCGAACGCGGTCATCCCCTTGCTGATAAGGGCAAAGATGGCCAATTTTGACGTGCATCGCATCCTGGTCGACGAAGGGAGTTCCGTCGACGTGATGTACAGCCAGCTGCTCCGGACCTTGCAACTGGACGACTCACACCTCTCTCCGTATGTGGGTTCAGACCTTCAAGGCTTCAACGGCTCGACTTCCAAACCTTGGGGTTATGTCGAGCTCCTCGTGACGTTCGGGGAAGGAACGGCTACAAGACAGGTGAAGGTCCGCTTCCTCGTCATTGATTGCCCGTCCCTGTACAATTGCATCTTGGGGAGGCCGACATTGGCGGAGCTGACAGCGGTGCTCTCAACTGTCCATCTAAAAATGAAGTTCTATACCAAAAGGGCAAGGGTAGCCACCATCCAGGGAGACCTCGCCGCTGCCCGCAGGTGCTTCAACGCCGCTTCAAGGGGACGGGATACTGTCGACGTGGGTACCAGTACCAGACCCCCCAAGAAGACAAAGCAAGAGCCCGACAGAGCATCCCCCGAGGTAGAAATTCAGAAGGCTCCACCAAAGGTCGACTCCATAGCCCTCGACGCTCGCTTCGACCAAGACGAGCCATCCAGCAGCGAGCAAATCCCCCTCCGACCTATTCCGGACGGCGATTTTGAACTCGTTCCCCTCGGAGCAGACCCGACCAAGGGAGTGAAGATTGGCAAAGACCTCCCCGACTTGGCCAGGAAGCAAATCAAGGCCTGTCTGCGCGAGAATGCTGATCTCTTCACCTGGAGCGCTGCAGAGATGCCAGGACTCGACCCTGAGGTCGCCTGTCATCACCTCGCCATTGATCCAGCCGCCAAGGCCATAGTACAACGTAGGCGTAGGCAGTCTCCAGAAAAAACGGAGGCTGCTGAAAAAGCTGTAAAAGACCTCCTAGAGGCAAATTTTATTTCTGAAGCCCGGTATTCCACCTGGCTGTCAAATGTTGTACTTGTTAAAAAGAATAATGGAAAATGGAGAATGTGTGTTGACTATACCGACCTCAACCGGGCTTGCCCGAAGGATGCTTTTCCTCTACCTAACATTGACATGCTGGTCGACAATTCGGCCGGTTACAAAACTTTGTCGTTCATGAACGCCTACTCGGGATACAATCAAATCCCAATGGCCCTGGGCGACAAACGTTGCACGGCGTTCATGACCAGCTCGGGCAACTATTACTACAACGTAATGCCCTTCGGACTGAAGAACGCCGGTGCGACTTACCAACGCATGATGAACAAAGTGTTCAACAAACAGATTGGCGACATGCTCGAGGTATATATGGACGATATGATCGTCAAATCCCGAGCAGACACCGATCACGCAGCTCATCTCAAGACAGTCTTCGCCCAAGCAAGACAGTGCAAAATGAGGTTCAACCCCGAGAAGTGCACGTTCGGGGTCAAGGCAGGAAAATTCCTCGGATTCTATCTAACAGAACGAGGGATTGAAGCCAACCCCGACAAATGTCGGGCGTTCTCCGACCTCCCGACACCAACGTCGAAGAAGTCGATACAAATCATGAACGGCATGCTGACGTCACTATCACGCTTCGTCGCGAAGTCCGCTCAGCGCGCCCTTCCCTTCTTCAAACTCCTTCGAAAGGAGGCGGCCTTCGAATGGACCGAGGAGTGCGAACACGCACTTCGCCATCTGAAGCAGAGCCTGTCTCAACCGCCCGTGTTGTCTCGACCAGATGACGGCGAACCACTATACC